CGGATGCTGCAGGGACGTATGTGCGGGCAAAACAGCCACACACATTTAAATAAAAAAAAAAAAAAAAAAGCTTAAACTCACAACAGCTATGGGTCGGGTGAATAGTTTTATTTATAGATGAGCACACTGGGTATAGCAAGGCCTGGAAGGCTGCTGCCCTTATCGGTATCAGGCCAGGGCCCCTCCCTGCGGGTCTCCCCAGCTTTATTCCTTATTTCCCTGTGCCCATCAACAAGGCGGTAAAATGAACCTACAAATTACCCAGATAACCTTCTCCTGACGAGGCAGTTAAGTGAGTTTGAAAATGGGCTCCATCTTTCTACTTTATTAGTCTGGAACAGTTTTAATGTTTTAGTTTAGAAACTGGTGCCAGATTTCAAGCACTCTGACTGAAGATGCGTTAAATATGTTATAATTTCTGTCTGGTAGAAAAGGACTTAAAATTCTGTAAAAGCTGGTTGTTTGAAACTGTGAGCCACCAGAATTTGAATGCTATTTGCCAGACTTTCAGACTCTATTAGTAACCAATGTCCATTAAACTTGAAAGCAGCAACAGACACCTTTGTGTTCTGAAACCACTCAGGTACCAGCATCACTTTATTAATCATCACTTTGCCCTTTCTGGCGGCGGGGAGTCGGGGGTGGTCATTAGCTTGGCAGATATGCGATGAGCCTCTAACAGGGAAAAATGGTAAACATCGTAGGTCTAAAATCTCTTTTGCTTTGATATATAATAGTTCTATCTAATAAGGTGTGTTTGCATTTCTGGGTAAAGAGGGTGCTGCTGTGGTCTAATTGTGTCTCCCAAAGTTGTCGATAGGAATATTAATCCTTAAGGAAATGGTGTTGGCAGGTGGGATATTTTAGAGAGAGGTTAGATTGTCCTCTCTGTCCTCAGATTGGATTAATGCTGTTTTCAAGTGGAGTATGGAAGTGGATTGGTGCTTTTCTGTCTAGTGCAGATACAGGGTCGGGCCCTCCTCATCCATGTCCCTCTCTGCTGCATGGTCCCATGGCGAAGGAGGGCCTTGAGGTCAGATACAGGCGCTCAGACTGGGGCTTCAGCCTCCGGGAGTGGCTGAAGTTCTGTTCTTCACAACAGGCTCCATCTCAGAGATCCTGTGCTGACGGCACACAGCTGGTGGAGACGAAGAGAACGACGCTGAGGAAACGCACAGTGACAGAAGCTTAGAAAGGTGTTAGAATAAGTAGAGAGGATGGTGGTCTGTGCCATACCCGTGCTGGGAGAGTGGCTGCGTTTAGATACAGTGCACACACCATTAAGTTTATCCTTTCAAACCACGATTCAGAGAGCCAAGTGCGGCAGTACCCGTCTGTAACCACAGCGCTTGGGAAGGTGAGGCGGGAGTCTGTAGTTCAGGTGAGTTTCTGCCACACAGCAAGTTAGACGTGACCTGTGCTACTTGAGACCTTTTCCCAAACAATCCGAAACAAAGCCACAGTGGTAGGCCCTCAGCCAGTGGCTTCTTCAGACGTACAGTCATCATCTCTCCCCAGGTCCAGAACTGTCGCCCCCCCCCCCCAAGAAGAGGCCTGGACCCGTTGTTCTCAGTCCCCTCTCTCTCCACACCCATAGGTTTACCTGTCCTCGGCGTTCCATAAAAAAGGAAACCATTCCACATGCAGGGCTCTGTCACTGGCTTTCCTCACTGGCCCAGTGTTTCCAAGGTTCACCCATGTGGAAGCGTGTAGTGCTTCATTTTTGTTGCTAAAACACATTTTGTTGTGTAGACACACTAACCGTGCTTTGCTTGTTCCGCCGTCCGCCGAGGAGCATTTGGGTGATCGCCATGTTTTGGCTGTGAGGAATAATGTCGCTGTGGGTATTTACGAATAAATCCTGTGTGGCCATATGTGCTCACTTTCCTCAGGAGTATACCTAAGCGCGGAATTGTTGGACCTTAGGTACTTCTCGTTTAACTTTTGGGGAATTCACAAACTGTTTTCCAGACTATCTGTTGGACTTCATAGTTTTTGTGTTAGTGTCTAATGGCTTAGCATTATTTTTTAAATGTCCATTTATTATTATTAGTGTGTGTGTGTGTGTGTGTGTGTGTGTGTGTGTGTGTGTGTGTGCCACAGTGTGCATGTGAAGGTCAGAGGACAACTTTGTGGGGTCATTTCCCTCCGTCTACCTGTATGTGGGCTCCAGGGTAGAGCTCAGGATGCCAGGCTAGCGTGGCAAACAGTCTACCCGCCGAGCTGTCTGCAGGGCACCAGCGTTTGGATTTCTTCACATACCCTCAAACACTTGATACTCAAACTCCTATTTTAGTGGATGGGGAATGGCATTGTGGTTTTGATTTGCAGGGCCCTACTAACTCAAAGCTGTGTGTCTTTCCATGTTCTGATTCAGCCAGCCACACGTTTCCTTTGGAGGAGTATCTATTCAGAGTCTTTGTTCATTTGAAAAACTGGGCTATTCATCTTGTCACTGTTTTGTTTGTTTGAGACAGGGCCTCATCTAATGTTAGTTTTTAAAATCATCAGGGGCGACATTTGTATCTGGACTTTTCTTTGTGTAAAGCTTTTCTGATTCCCGGTTTGATCTCTTTCCTTTGCTCTGTCTTTTCTGTTCCTTCCTGGGCTAGTTTTGCTAGTTTGTTCTATTGATTTGTGCGTTTCTGAGTTATCTGACTGATTGGTGTGAAGTTGCTCATGGCCTCCTCTTAAAGCTCCTGTACCCTCTGAGACTGGCAGTGACATTCCCTTTTCCTGACTGTCCTGATCTTAGTGAGACCGTTCTCTCTTCCTTCTGCTCAGTGTAGCTAAGGGACCACTCCCCACCCCCACAATCTCTGTGAGTTCCAGGACAGCCTGGTTTACAGAAAGAGTTCCAGAACAGTCAGGGATACAGAGAGAAACTTTGACTCAAAAAACAAAACAAAACAAAACAAAACAAAACAAAACAAAACACCCAACAGCAATAACAACAACAATAATAATAAAATAAATAAATTAATTAAATCTACTTCCTTTGTTTTTGTGGGGTTTTTGTTTGTTTGTTTTGTTGTTTTTCAAGACAGTGTTTCTCTGTGTAGCCCTGGCTGTCTTGAAACTCACTTTGTAGACCAGGCTGGCCTCGAACTTGTAGACACCTGCCTGCCTCTGCTTCCTGAGTGCTGGGATTAAAGGTATATGCCAGCACAGCCAACAATAAATTTTACTTTTAAATATTATAATTTGACTACAAGTTAAATTTGGGCTGTTTTCCAGGTCTGTGGTTGGTCTGTGTCTGTATCATAAGATTTGCTAACAAAATACACAGGGGTTGTTTTTAAACAATGTTAACACCTGTCTCAGATACATTAACATTCTTATGTTGATCAACTTAATGTGAAGTGTTGAAAAATACAATTGCTAATGTTTAGTTGTGATGAATTTCCAAAACAGGATCTTCATCCTGACAAAAGTTAGTAACTAGTTAAATGTTCTTACTTGTGTTTCATTGTGACAGTGTTTGGTTTATGTCTATGAGAATCCTATGAAATGGATGTCTTCAAATATTCAAGGATAGAAAAGCTTGCATGAGATCAGGCTGTTAGAGACAACTTATCAACATTGAGTACAGTAAGTTCCTTTTCTCGGCCAAAACTATCTGGACATTTCAACCTTATGGATAATGCACTTATAAAAATATAATTAGACTTTTTGTTATATGACACAAAACATATTCTTTATTAAAAACAAACTAGTGTTTTGAAATTATAAAAATTAAATATCCACATTTTGATATTAAAAAAGCTGTATATGTCTTTTGCATAGTCCTTCAGTTCATACGTTCTATCATATAACAATAATCATTTAGAAGGCCATTGGCCTGATGAAGGATGTGAGGTCATGGTATAGAGAAGAAATTCTAGAAGGCATACGTGGAATCTAGAGCTGGAAACATTATATTGGTACATCGGATGAAATAATACTTTAGGAGAAAGTATGGGTACCACACAGTATCTATAAACGACTCAATCAGGATTGCATTGTGGGGGGAAGAATATAGACCATGAAGAAGGCGGTAGCTGTAGACGTCTTTATATGTCTTGGCACAGAGGCTGTTGTTACTCAAAAACACAACTCCAAGCGATCTAAATCTGTTTCCATCTCTGGAAGGAAAATGTCTGAGAGAGAAGCCGGCTGTTGACACACATCCTCTTCAGTAGTGTGGTTACTACAGTAACGGAATTACATCTTTCCATTTAGATCATGTGGCAGCACTCTTGGCAACACTGAATGTCTAAGGGAGTGAATGTGATTATAACTTATGAGCTAACCTGTGAGAGACATGACGGCTGTGAAAATGCTTGGCACAGTGAAGGGCATGAAGATGGCCCCTGGTAAATGCTGGTGGACATAGACCGTCTGCTGGTGTACACTGTGTGACAGCCTCACCTGGGGAATTGAGACAGCCTGGCCGCTAGCGTTAGATCCGCCACTAACTCGTAACCTTGAGCAAGCGGGAATTCATTTTCTTTGACTGCGAAGAACTCCAAGTTTTTCCACCTCTCAGATTCTATGGTTCTATTAAATTCTTATATATATAAAAAAAAAACCTTGAAAGATGATTCTTTCAATAAAGATGGAAGTTTTTGTTGTTGTTTTCAACTTTTGCAGCTTTAACTAGGCTTTGCCACATGAATAAGATTCTTGATAGCATTATCTGAAGCCGAGCCCTGGTTGGTTTGAAAACAAAGGGTTCCTTTGCAGTGTCATTTAGCTTGGCATGGCCGTGAATCCAAGAATTATTCTACACGAACCAGAGAACAGTAATGTAGTTGTACTTAAATCCAGAGTTCCACACAGCCATTCACCAGAAATGAACTGAGGGGAACGGTTACTTCTAAATTTGCACAAGTTCTAAAATGTGCTGCTGGGATTTGCTGCAGGAATCATAGTAAACAGGAGTTTGAAAGTGTGGGGGGCAGGGTGGTCTGTGTGCTGTTAAAATGCCAATGGCGACAAAATTTTTGGGATTTGTACCATTTGAAATGTGTGTTGTGACAGAGAATGGGTCAGCGTGTTTGATGGCCTTTACTGTTCAACGGATGTTTTCAAATAACAAACAGTAGACGGAACCTCACATTGGTAGCACGTTTTATTTAAAAACTGTTGAAGCTGTCAGGACAAAACCTCTTTTCTATTGAAAGAACTCACTTTTAAGTCAGGCATGGTGCCACATGCATGGAATCCTAGCGCTTGGGAAGCTGAGGCAGGAGGACTGCCAGTTTGGAGGGCAGGCTGAGTTCCGTAGTGAGTTTGAGCTGCATAGAAAGATCCCATCTGAAAGAAAGAACAAGACACACTGAGCATGTCGGAGGTGCCCTGGGCAGACCAGAGGACAGGCCGTCGAGTGAGCTGGGTCATGGTTCTGCACATACTGTTTAAACGGTTCGGACTTTCTTATTTTGCAGTTGAATACAGGGTCTTATTCAGACTAGAGTCAAATGCTCTACTACTGCACTGTCATCCTATCCCCTCCCGCCTTTTAAAGTTCTGAAGCAGGGTCACACGTAGCCCAGGCTGGCCTCCAACTCACAATGTAGCTGAATGTGACTTCGAACTCCTGATTCTCCTGCCTCCAGTTGGAGAGTACTAGGATTTAGGTTATGCAGCACCATGTGCAGCTTTATGTTCAGCTTTAAAAGGAGGGAAAATGGAAAACAGGTTGTGATGCGTGAACTTAAGTAAGAAATAGTGCTTATGAGTCATTAGCATTGATTGAAAAGCATGCACAGGTGTAGAGGAACTTACCAGCACACAGCTCTCTTAAAAGGCCAGCTTTTCCATCCTTAATGAAAAAGATGGCATCTATTGGTTCCAAGGACACTGGTTCCAAGACTTGTCTTGTTGTTGTTTTATGTTTTATTTTTGTTTTATGCGTGTGTGTGTGTGTGTGTGTGTGTGTGTGTCTGTGTGTGAAGAGGGTGTTGGCTCTTGGTAGCTGGAGTGGCAGGTGGTTTTCAGTCCTCTGATGTGGGTGCTGGGGACCAAACTTGGGTTCTCTGAAAGAGCAGTGAGTGCCCTTAACCATGGAGCCATCTCTCCAGTCCCAGGCCCAAGACTTTGTATGGCTACCAAACCCTGAAGAACTCAAGTCTCATATATAAAATGGATATTTGCATGTAATCTACATACATCTTTCTATAACCTTTATTTGTTTCCTTATTACTGACCAGGTCTCATGTATTGCAGACTCGCCTGAACTCACTGTCTTGAATTTATGGTTCTCCTATCTTTACCTTCCAAGTGCTGGGATTACATGCATGTACTAGCACACCTCACTTAATGAAGTGCCAGGGATTGAACCAAGGGCCTCGTGTATACTAAACAAGTGCTCTACAAACTGAGATATATCCATATAGCCTCCCCGCCATGTACTTTAAATAACCTCTAGATTGTTCATTTATAATATATTTCATTATAATTCATTTATAATAATGCAGTCACATATGAAATGGTTGTTATAGTATTTAGGAATTAGTGACAAGTATGTAAAGTCTGTACATGTTCAGCACAACCACTGCTTTAGCCACGATAGATTGAGCTACTGCAAATAAAATATTAAAGGATCAAAGCAAGAAGCTACACCAGGACATGTTTATGCATCACTTCATTTGGATGGAGTCAGCGTTATGGCCGGAAGCACAGGACATTCGGATTGTGCTTTTGAAAGTTCCTCAGGAGCATGAGGGGCATTATGCACACATGTGCTGGAGGTGAAACCTTGGTTCCTATGATAGACGTGTGCTTTTCCACTGAGCTACATCTCAGCCCTCTGGTTTCAACGTTGATATTTCTGTCTATTATCAAAGAATGAATCTTTGGGGGCCGGTGACGGCTCAGTGAGTAAAGGCACTTGCCACCAAGCCAGACACCGTGAGTTCAATCCCTGAAACCCACACTGTGGAAGGAAAGAACCAATTCTTGAAGATTGTCCTCTGACCTCCACATTCGCTTCCTGCCATGAGTGTGCTCCCACACGTACATACACAGATACACACACCCCAAATAAATACAATGTAATACTTTTTTAAAGGAATGAGTCTTTTGACTGTGACACTTAAAAGAACCTTTATCCAAAACATTGGTGTAATCACATGTAAACCCAAAACGTATTCTCTTTCTAATGTATGTACTGTAAGATGAGACAGGTAGAGTAAATGTCATTGGCAGGAGGTGCTATGTATAAATGTGGCGGGTTAGCTCATGATTCATAACCTATTTTAGCACCTTTGAGAGATTATCCTTAGCAATAATTAAGAATGGAGGCATATATTTGCCAAGATTTTAGTTAAGTGATGGCTCACCCATCTCTCATTAAGTGTATTCACGGACAGAATGGACACAGTAATGTGACATGCTACACAGGGTTCTTTTTTTTTTTTTTTTTTTTTTGTTTTTCGAGACAGGGTTTCTCTGTGTAGCTTTGCGCCTTTCCTGGAGCTCACTTGGTAGCCCAGGCTGGCCTCGAACTCACAGAGATCCGCCTGGCTCTGCCTCCCGAGTGCTGGGATTAAAGGCGTGCGCCACCAACGCCCGGCTACACAGGGTTCTTAAGCTTAATGCTACTTGGAAAGCACTTGGCACGATGCTGTGACGTGGTAAGTGTTCAGTAAATGTCAATAATCTTGATTTTTCTTTGTGTGTTTCTTTGTGTGTATGTGGATTTACATGTATTGTGGGTGCTATTTTACAAGCATGTGAAAGCCTTGGGTACTGTTCCTCAGGAACCACCCACCTTTATGTGTATGTGTATGTGTATGTGTGGGAGATGTATCTTTAGGTATGTCTGTATGTGTATGAATGCATATGTGTCTGCAAGTACATGTAGAAGCCAGAGATCAACCTTGGGCGCTATTCCACAGGAGTTATCCATTTTTGTTTTTTGAGGCAAGGTCTCTCACTAGGTCTTGATGATTAGTTGAGGCTAGGTGTTCAGCCAGCTCCAGAGATCCTGCCTGTTCACTCCCAATGCTGGAATTACAAGCATGTGCCACATCAACCAGCTTTTTGTTTGTTTGTTTGTTTGTTTGTTTCCAAGACAGGGTTTCTTCTTGAAGTTTTGGTGCCTATCTTGGATCTCGCTCCGTAGACCAGGCTGGCCTCGAACTCACAGAGATCCGCCTGGCTCTGCCTCCCAAGTGCTAGGATTAAAGGCATACACCACCACCGCCCAGCTTTGACCAGATCTTTACATGAGTAAATATGTAGCTGCTACCTTTTTACTACTCATTTTATTTATTTAGGAAATGTCTTAGAACTCACCAAGTAGGCTGTGCTGGGATCTACCTGTTTCCTCCCCCAGTGCTGAGATTACAACTGTGTACCATAATGCTGGGCTTTTAATTTTCTTAAACTAGGTAAACAACTTACGGAAAATTATCTTCCGAGCCCCCACCCCGTGTGTGTGTGTGTGTGTGTGTGTGTGTGTGTGTGTGTGTGTGTGTGTATCACTGAAGATCAGACTCAGGACTTTGCTCATTCTAAGCAACTACTATACCACTGAGCAACACCTCCACCTCCTAGTAATATTAAAACAGGATCTCACTGTGCATCCCTGACTGGTCTGGTGCTCAGTGTGTGCCCAGGCTGGCCTTGAGTACAGCAGCCCTCCTCGTCCAGTCTTCTGGGTGCTGGAGTACCATTCCTAACTTCTTAATACTACTGTTTTGTTTGCGATACGGCCTCATGTAGCACAGCCTGGCTGATATTCACTGTGTAACCAGTATGTCTTTGAATTCATCCTCTTTTAAAAAAAAAAAAAAATATATATATATATATATATATATATATATATTATGTATACAGTATTCTGTCTGCATGTATGCTTACAGGCCAGAAGAGGGCACCAGATCAAATTATGGATGGTTGTGAGCCACCATGTGGTTGCTGGGAACTGAACTCAGAACCTCTGTAAGAGCAGACAGTGCTCTTAACCACTGAGCCATCTCTCCAGCCCTGAATTCATCCTCTTGTCTCTAGCTCTCAGGAGTTGGATTACATGCACAGGCCATCACACCTGGCTACCAAATACTGTTCACTGTTCGTTGCGTTTCCTGCCTTAACTTGGTTTTTCTGTTAGTTGTTTCAAATGAAGACATAGCACACAACCTTTTCTTTGTGTCCTATTAAGCTGTAAGAAAGAATTTTGGGTCACAGGAAAGGACAGTGACTTTTTAAGATGAGTTCCAACCTAAATGTAAGGATGGCAAGATCATGCCGCCTAATGTTAGGCACCCAGGTTTCTGTTGCTCTCTCTTTGGACTGTATTACCTGTGAATAGGTAATTAAAACTACTCCATGGATTTGCCTGTGTCTTGTGCTGATAACTCCCAAATCTATGCCTTATACCATGGCTGGTATTCTTTATCCTTCAGACTGATGTGCCATCTGTCTATTAGTTAGAAATACAACTATATAGACATATAGATATATAGATAATTAGTTTCATATAGTGCAACCTCATAGGCCACTTTTTTTTTTTAATTTTTTAAAGTATTTTTTTCTTTTTATTTTTCAGTATGAGTGGCCTTCCTGCATGCATGCCTGCAGGTCAGAGGAGGGTATCAGATCCCATTATAGTTGTGAGCCACCATGTGGTTGCCGGGACTTGAACTCAGGACCTCTGGAAGATCAGCCAGTGCTCTTAACCACCGATCCACCTCTCCAGCCCCCTCATAGGCCGCTTCTAGTAAACATGTATACAACAAAAAACAGGTTCTGGGAAGGTAACTCAGTGGGTACAGTGCTTGTCCAGCCAGCACAGTGCCCTCAGTTTGATAGATTTGGGGGATGGAGGATAACAGGACATTCAGAAGTTCAAGGTTATCCTCCATAGCAAGTTTGAGACTACCTGGATTGCATGGGACCCTGTCTCAAAACAAAACAAAACAAAAAACAAACAAGCCCAAACAGGGCCACATTAAACAGAACATCTTCAGTATGGGAGAAGATCTTTCCAACTATACAAGCCCAAACAGGGCCACATTAAATAGAAAATCTTCAGTATGGGAGAGGATCTTTCCAACTCCATTGTTGTATTGGAATTGGAGCTTCCTGGCCTGTTTGTATTTTTGCTCCTCATCAGAAAGTTTTGGGCTCTCAGAAACACATTCAACAGACTTCTCTCTAGAATTGGAAGTCGAGGTTGTCTTTGAAATTGTTTATTTATTCAGAAGCACTAACAGAGTAAGAGGATTGAGAAACTATGACTTGATTCTACCAGAATAGCAAGTTCAGCCCCTTCCAATGGATTCTCTTCCGTTTTAAGCATCACATATTTTCTTTACACTACGTGAATGCTGACATATATGTCATGAGTCAGCTCCCAAGGCTTTGCATTCCTTTTATTATGACTCAAATCAAATGGTTGCTGCTTTTATTTTTGTTTGTTTGGTTTGGTTTTTCTTTTACATGCAGGGTGTTGAATCCAGGGCTTCATGCCTGTTAATCAAACCCTCTCCCTCTGAGCTATACCTCTGGTCTCTGAAGTTCTTTGATTATATTAGCACCACACACAGAACATAATAAACCCCCAAAACACTTGTTAATAAATACTATACCTCACCATGCATGCAAACTGAGCATTTGTGGTTGGCTGGCCTTATTGGTGTGGTCATCTGTTCCCACCTTAAAATGTATGCTAATAAAGGAGCGGGAAAACATTTTCCATTCTACCCCACATTCCAGTGAAGACTAATCTTCTTAAAGCCCTATATTAATTGCATGCCTACATTTCTTACCTCACAATAGCTCTTTATTTGTTTGACTTGAAACTCTGCAGTGTACCTCACCTAGTTAAGCTTTTCTGATCAGCCTGTCTATAGAGTCCGTCTGTACTGTTAGGTCTGTTTACATCATAGGTAGAGTAGGCAGAGTATAGATTGGTTCTCGTTTAAAACAAACTCTGACTTCTCACATATAGGCTGTAGGATCAGGATGTCGACTTTAACATTGTATTTGGGTGCAATGAGTGTAAGCCTTATATCTAGGAAGTACTTATTGAGTGCCCACCATGGACAGCACTTTATCAATGAATGGGGCCTTGATTGTAAGGAAAATCAGCCTGGCTTCTGCTCTCTCGTTAGTTTTCATCTAATTGTGAAGGGTGTGTGAGTGTGCCTGTGTGAGCATGTGTGTGTGTGTCTGTGTGAGCATGTGTGTACCTGCGAGCATGTTCAAATGTGTGCGAGCACACTTGTGTGAGGAGGCCCTGTTGACATCGGGTATCTTCCTTCATCAAGCTCCACCTTCTATATAGACACAGGGTCTCTTGCTGTATCTGGGCTCAGCAGCTGAGGCCAGAACTCACTGTTTTCCCCACCTGGCTGTTCAGCAAGGGTCTTACCCACTGAGCCATTGCCCTCGCCTGGTTTTGATCTAATCTTGAAGGCAGATAAACAGTTGTAATTCAGGGTTAAAAGTGTTGGAGAATGCCCAAGGAGCCCGCCGCAAAGGGCATGTATCCTGAACTGTGGGGCCAGGAGAGCATCTCAAGGTTTTTTTGACATTTAGTTTGCTATAGGAAGTACAATACAGTTGAAGGACCAGCATGATGTGCAAAAGTCTAATGTGAGGAAAGCCTGGGCCCCTCAGAAAAGTGAGAGAAGTCTCTCTCTCTCTCTCTCTCATTTTTTAAAATGTATTTTTTAATTATAAGCGTGAGCTGGTGGGGTCCAGAGGTGTTGGCTCCTCTGAAGCTGGGGTTATAGGCAGTTGTGAGCTGCGCCATGCGGGTGTTGGGAACCAGACTTGGATCCTCTTCAAGAGCAGTACAAGCTCATGGCTGTGAAACCATCTGTCCAGGCTGAGTGCCTGGTACAAGGAAGTACCTCATTTACTGTAGTTGATAGCAAAGGGTATTTCTTCTGTGAGGGACACACTTGCTTTGACATTGCCCAGACCAACTCATCCTTTACTTCCATGGAAAGTTGAGGTGACAAAAATTCAAAAGGAGAAAATGAACTTGAGTCAGTTCATCAACCGTTCAGCTTTATTTCCAGCTACACCGTATGCTTTACATTTAAATTTTAAATTTATGTAATCTTCAGGCACATAAAATTCACAAATGCGCATCTTGAGATGATTGCTGAGGTTGGCTGGCAGCCTCCACCTCATCCCCCTGGTCCTCATTGCCGACAGAGCAGACTCCTGCGTGTGCTGTCTCAGTCTCTTCTCCTTACCGCGGTTTGAACTCGGGGCTCTGAGTTGTGCCTTTAGCACACCTTTCGTCTCTCTGCTTTTGAGCCTTTACCCCTCCACCCTTCACCACATCGTCTTCTTCCCACTCACCGCCTGTCAAATGTGATTGTTTTTTGAAAGCTCCATTTGGATGCTTTCTCTCATGTCTATAGTTTTCTTCCCATACATCTAACTCTTCCAGTTCTCTACTCTGTGTGTGTTTTCTTATTGATAAAATATGACAGTCTTTCGCAGTGTATTTTAAAATACAGATCACAATCTATTACTGAGTTATGAAATCAATTTAGGAATTCTGACCAGTATTAAAAAGGCCTGAAATAGATCCGGCATGGTGGCACATGCCTTTAATCCCAGCACTCAGGAGGCAGAGACAGGCTGGATCTCTGTGAGTTCAAGGCCAGCCTAGTCTACAGAGTGAGTTCCAGGATAGGCTTCAAAGCTACACAGAGAAACCCTGTCTCGAAAAACAAATATAAAACAAAAAACAACAACAAAGCAAAACAAACAAACAAACAAACAAACAAACAAAAAGCCTGAATTAAATAGACCAAAGTAAAAAAAAAACAAAATTTGCTATGTATAAAAAAAACAAATATATAGCCTGGCGGCCATGGCGAACACCTTAAATCCCAGCACTCGGGAGGCAGAGCCAGGCAGATCTCTGTGAGTTCGAGGCCAGCCTGGGCTACAGAGTGAGATCCAGAACAGGCACCAAAACTACACACACACACACACACACACACACACACATATGTATATATAATCAATCTTGGGGGTAGAGAGATGGCTCAGACGTTAAGAGCACTGACTGCTCTTCCAGAGGTCCTGAGTTCAATTCCCTACAATCACATGGTGGCTCACAACCATCTGTAATGAAATCTGGTTCCTCTTCTGGCCTACATGCAGGCAGAACACCGTATATGTAATAAATAAATCTTTAAAAATGTAAGCTCTGGGCCGGGCGGTGGTGGCGCACGCCTTTAATCCCAGCACTCGGGAGGCAGAGGCAGGCGGATCTCCGTGAGTTCGAGGCCAGCCTGGTCTCCAAAGTGAGTTCCAGGAAAGGCGCAAAGCTACACAGAGAAACCCTGTCTCGAAAAACCAAAAAAAAAAAAAAAAAAAAAAGTAAGCTCTGTTAGATCCCAAAATCTAGGGTCTCAAGTGGGTGCCCTTGACTCCAGTCCAGTTGATGCAACAGCACAAGGTGTTTATTGAAGCGACTGTACAGACAGGCTACTCTTGTCCTGAGAGCAAGAGACGTGTCTTATTGCAGCCCCATGGGGACTTTTAAAGGAAAAACCCACAAAAGCCGTAAGATTACAATTCCCATACAATTTCGTTTCACAAGATCATGGTCTGATCACAGAGTGGGTACAGTCACATCCGCATGTACATTCTTCCTGAAACCTCAAGGTGGGTATCAGGGTGGGAGTGGAGTTTACACAAAGGTCACGGTGGTCCTTCCTGGAACACCTGCAACTATCCCAGTCACAGTTGAGCACATTTCTTAACAGAAATCTTTTTACATTGTTACATTGTTACAGGGGTGGTTGAATAATGATTGAGTCAGCTTGCCCTTGGAACTAGATTTTTAGTTTCTCATTTCCTGGGGCTTGGGGGTGTAAGCCTGAAGGGTTAGGGTCTTTCAGCTCATTTCATGGTGATTTCATCTAGGGCTGTTTCATTGTATAAAGTGTGATTCCTTGTGTTGCTTGCATCACTGTGGGTCTTAATCAGTTGAGAAACACTTGTGGACTAGTGTGGACCAGTGTGGACCAGTGTGGACCAGCTCTTCGGATTACTGCTCATCACTGAGCCTGTCCACTGCATCCCATAGCTAGGGAGCCACTCCATTCATTCTAAGTGCTGGTTTTCTTTGAACTTGTATCTAAGTCTTTCTAAACACAGTTCTAGACATTCTGTACCATCCTCCACATGGTCAAGTCCAGCAGCTTGAAGTCTTTCAGGTCTGTTTCTCCCTAGAAAGCTTCCTCTGGGAATATCGTCTTCCAGGTCCTATCTGTGTGCTCTCCTGTTGTCGTCCTGGAAACGCTCAGCTTCTTACCCGGGCTCCTTTGGCTCCTCCTGTTATTCCGGGTCGGGCACACAGTCTGAAAGCTTCCTCAAAAAGTATGCGTGGAAAGTAATGCTTTTTGTATGTTAATGCTGGGGATAAAGTCCAGGCTTCATTGATGCTGGGCAAGTATCTACTGCTGAGGTTTAGCCCTGGCTTTTTGGCCATAGGTTATCTGAACATGCCTATCTCCTCTCTTCTGGTTTCAGAACTCTAGTTGAAAGAAATTTCCCTCAACTTTAGAGTCATTGCTCAGTTGTTTTCTACTTCTCACTGTTGCTACTAAGAGATCATACCATTTTTATTTCTCAACTTTTGCATGTGACCACTTTCTTCCTCTGTGGAAACTTTAAAGATGCCTTTGTACTTTCTATTCTGAACTTTTACACTGAGATTTTTCTGTCTTATGATGAAGAGCATTTCTTTGCCATTATGCTAGAATCCATGTTGTTCTCTTCTTGGAAATTTTTGACAATTTTGTGCTTACCATTTGATTAATTTACTAGAGAAATGGCTTTCTTTCTGTAGTTCATGTTAGAAGTTTTGAATTAGTCCTGTAATTTTTCCTTACCGTGTTTTTTCCCCCTTTGTCCATCTCTTGGTATTTTTGTTCTGTTTCTTGCAAGACTTCCTCACCTTTACCTTCCATATTTTTTTCTTCAATTCCATTATTAGTTTCTAAGAGCTGTTATTCTCTGTACTCTTTATTCTCTGTACTTCTTTCTTATTTCATTTGTGAAGTCTCTTGTTCTTGTTTTATGAAGGTATCTTGTATTTCTGTTAAGAACACTTCATGAGTTTGTATGCCATCCTTGTGCAGGACCATGCTAATCCTCTCTGTATGATTCCAATTCTAGTGCATGTGCTACTGAAATAAGCCCAGCCTTTTTGGTTTTTAAGAAAGAAACTTTGGGGGACTGGGAAGATAACTCAATAGTCACGTGCTTGCTGCTCATGAGGACCTGAGTTCAGATCCCTAGCTCGCAGGTGAAAAGGGCCACGGTGGTTCACCTTGTTATCCTGGTGCTAGGGAAGGGAAGCAAGCCTGGGCTTGGTGACCGGCAGCTTAGCCTACTCCTTGAGCCCTAGGTCCTAGAGGTAGACCAGGCCTCAAAAAACAAGATGATAGCCCCTGAGAAACAATACCAGAGATGTACACACACACACACACACACACACACACACACACACACACACGTACTTGTACACACAAACAACTCTTAGTGTCTTCTAGCATTGTTTCTCATTCATGTTTTGGGCTCCCGGTCATCAGGGGGAGGAGGGATTGGAAAGGCTGTGCCTCCTGGGGAAACTGAAACTGTGGTTGAGTCAACAGAATTGAGAGGCCTGTGGTAACTGGAAGTTGATTAACTGTAGATGCTTATTGCACTAAAAATGCCCTGAAAAATCCACAGTGGTAGAGATGTAAGGAGATGAATGACATAAATCATTTGGGAATTGATTTAGAGAAAAACTCATTTTTTCTTGTGCACAGGTAAATGGATTGCTTTTCCGTGTAGTTAGCAAACTCAGAAATATAATCAAAGTTATTTCAAAGTCTACCTAACCCCCTTTTTTACATACATACAACTATATTTGTGAATAAATCTTTTAAAATAAAAAAAATAGATTTGTTGATTTTATTTTTTTTGTGTGAGAGTGTTTGTTTGAGTGTATGTGTGCACCACCAGCATCCCTGGTACCCACAAAGGTCAGAGAAGGTGTCGGATCCACTGAAACTGTAGTTATGAATGGGTGTACGCCACTGTATGGGTACTGGGAATGGAACCCAAGTCCTCTGAAAGACCAGTAAGTGCTTTTATTGCCGAACCACTGCAGTCCTGCAATGTCTTCTATTTTTATCGTTGTCGTTTGTTTATTTCATTTGTTGTTAGTTGGTTTTCCTCAAATGCCCAGATGATACACTTAGGAATTAGGGTCTAAAAGAATGCACTGAAACATTAGTAAAGGTTTTGTGTTTCTGGATGGTCCCATGCTGTAGTCAGTTTCATGCTATTGCAACAGAATAATGGAGACTGGTTAATACATAAAGTAGAGAAATGTATCAGTCACAGTTCTGGAGTCTCACAGCCGCTGCTGTCCACCGAGTGCCTGGTCTCTGCTTCTAAGATGGTGCCTTGAATGCTGCATCCTCTGGAGGATAGGGACAGTTTTAGAAACAGTTTAAGCTTTGTGTGTTGAGACAGAGTTTCACTGTGTAGCCCTGGCTCTCCTGGAATGCGCCCTGTAGACAAGGCTGGCCTCAAACTCAGTGAGATCTGATTGCCTCTGCCGCCCAAGTGCTGAGATTAAAGGCACATGACGCCATGCCCAGCTATCTATCATCTGTCTATCTGTCTGTCTGTCTGTCTATCACCTATCTATCTATCATCTATCTATGTATCTATGTATCTATCATCTATCTATCTATTATCTATCTGTCTATCTGTCTATCATCTATCTATGTATCTATGTATCTATCATCTATCTATGTATCTATGTATCTATGTATCTATCTATCTATCTATCTATTATCTATCTATCTATCATCTATTTATCTATCTATTTATCAACTATCTATCTATCTATCTATCATCTATCTATCTATCTATCTATCTATCTATCTATCTATATATATATATATATCATCTATCTATCTATCTATCATCTATCTATCTCTCTATCATCTATCTATCTATCTATCTACCTATCTATCTATCTATCTATCTATCTATCTATCTATCTATCTATCTATCTATCTATTTGAGACAGGCTCTTTCCACATAGCCCAGGTTGGCCTGCATGGTCTTCTGCCTCCATCTCCCAAGCTCTGGAGTTTATAAGTGTGTACCACCAGCATGGCCAGCAGTATTTTTTCTTTTTGCCAGTGCTGGGGACTGAGGCCAGGCCTTCGCAGGTGCTAAGCAAGGGCTCTGCCAGCGAGCTATAGCTCCAGTTCTAGAACTTTTCCTCACTGGCAGAAGAGTGGAAGGGGGTGAGCAACTCAAGATTTCACCTCTGCCCTGTACCTTTCTTAGTTGCCCATCAACTTCCTGTCTCAAATGGCATAGCTTTGTGTCTTTGTGTATATGTGCTGTGTGACTTATAAAAAATTATTATTGTTATTATTTCATTTTAAGTGTATGGGTGTTTGTCTGCATATATGTCTGTGCATCACATGCATGCCTGGTGCCTGCAGAAGCCAGAAATGGGCATCGGATCCTTTGAAACCGGAGTTACAGATGGTTGTGAGCTGCCATGTGGGTGCTGGGAATTAACCTGGGTTCCCTGGCAGAGCAGCCAGTGAACTGGCTCTCCAGCCCATGACTTTTGGAGGAGTTCATTTCTGCTCATCCCAGATAGAGAGGGCATGACAGACCAAAATGCTCTGCACATGTTCAACTTGGCACATCGGTGAGTTCACTGGTGTTGGTTATGGAAGCACAGACAACGTGCAGTCCAGCATATGGCTGACGAGGCCCTTCTCCCCGGCAGCTGCTTAGGCCTTGGGTGTCCAGGGGAGCGGAGAGGCCTCCTTAGCTTTCCTCTCTCTCTCCCTGGGAATGTTAGGAGGCCCAGTGTCAGAGGTGCTTGAATGTGATCACAGCCACTCCGGTCCTGGAAGGCACAGCTACTCAGCATTGTGTCCCCTGTTTGGAGAGGAGTTCTGAAAGCAGGAAAGAATGGAAACATCTTTGTGGTGACGTTTCAAAGAAGAAGTTCCTCCTTAAACTTTCAGCGGACAAGTTTCCACATAGAGGGCTCAAAAAAAAAAAAAAAAAAAAAAAGAAGAAGAAGAAGAAGAAGAAGAAGAAGAAGAAGAAAAAAAAAAAAAAAAAAAAAAAAGGAGGGAAGGTGGGAAGGCTGAGATCAGATTAACCGACATCGATGTTTACAAAGAAGAAGTCTTTGTGGGTATTCACTGGTCTGCCAAAGAGCATATAGAAAGTCTCACATAGATGTAAGTTCCAGGACAGCCACGTTTGTTTTTGCCCCTGTCATTTTAGATGGGGACAGGCCAGTGCTCGTTGGTCCCATGGCTAAGTCACAAACTGGGAGCTATGAGATCGGGGTGGGCTCCGCTTGAAGCGCGCTGAATGTGGCGTTGTGTGTATTTTGAGTTCTCATGATATTAAGGTGTGATGCCTGTTTTAAAAATACTGTTTTCCTAACCCCATTTAATTTTTTTTCCTTTTTGAGCATATGACCACAGTTTTCCATCTCAATAACGTCTATAAAACCTCGGACAGAGGTACTACTTACAAACAAGAGACGATCTTTGTGTGAACAGCGTCAGTTCTTAGTGCATAGCAGAGCACCTGTTATAGAAAGGCAGGTCTAGACTTGGGAGAAGCAAGAGCTGACAAGAGAGTGTGTTAGGGAGAAATTACAGTGTGTGATCGTCTTCATGTTCTTACGCATGCCTGTTTAACATGCAGCTAAAACATTCCTTCATGTCTTAAAACTTCAGCCACTTAGAAACTTATCTTTAATGTTTAGATTTTTATTAAAAGTGAATATAAGACAGACATGGTGGCATAGACCTGTAATCTCAATAGTGGAGAGACTGAGGTAGGATAGGAAATTCTAGGCCAGTCTAGGCTCCATATCAAGGCCCTGCCTTCAGCACAGCACACAGCACACAGACAGGACACACAGTGTGCCTTCAGCACAGCACACAGACAGGACACACAGTGTGCCTTCAGTACATCACACATCACACAGACAGGACACACAGTGTGCCTTCAGCACAGCACACATCACACAGACAGGACACACAGTGTGCCTTCAGCACATCACACAGCACACAGACAGGACACACAGTGTGCCTTCAGCACATCACACAGCACACAGACAGGACACACAGTGTGCCTTCAGCACAGCACACAGACGGGACACACAGTGTGCCTTCAGTACATCACACATCACACAGACAGGACACACAGTGTGCCTTCAGTACATCACACATCACACAGACAGGACACACAGTGTGCCTTCAGCACATCACACAGCTCACAGACAGGACACTAGCCTCTGTGTTGGTCAGGTCTGGGCTCTGTTCCTAAACTGGGTTTACTTGCTAATGACATGAGTTTGAACAAATTACCTAAAGATTCGCTTTCTGCATCTGACTGAGTGCATGAGGATCTCCTCAGAGAACCTGAGGAGGTATGGCCTCCATGGTCCTCGGCACCAGTCTTGGCTCTTCCTTATAAAATACCAAACACAATGCCCCTTTTTTCGGATGTAGTATATTCTGGTGCGTCACAGCTACCTGTACAGTCAGGCATGGTAGCTCACACCTGTAAGCCCTGCACCTGGAAGACTAATGCAGGAGGAGAGTAGTGAGTTCAAGGCCAGCCAGAGCTAAAAAGTGGACTTTGTCTCAAAGAACAATTAAAAAACAAACAAACAAACAACTAATAAAAAAAAAAGGTATATGATCCAAAACTAAAACATAGTGAGTCTTAGAAAATTTAATTTGGAAATCGTTTTGGTAAATTTGAAAAATGCAGCCACTGAACTAATGCTTGCCTATGCTGAGGGATTTCTAAAGAATTGATCCATGTCTGTTTTGAATTGGCAACTTGCAAAAACACAGTGAGTTACTGGAGGGAAATTCCAAATTCCTGAAATCTTTGTTTGCTAAGGTACTCAGACTCTGGGTATCACTGAGGGGAATTTTTAAATATGTCAAGGTTTGATGGATTCTTCCTGCGTATGGTAATGTATTGTCGATATGCCTGCTCATCCTGGACAGTGTGTTTTCCCTGCCCTTACTGCGGCCATGTCTGGATGCAGGGACTTGCTTCCTGCTCACTCCCTGGCAGGGGCGGGACCCATAGGAGCAGCCCAGTGGCACTCTCCCTGGCGTCCCCCC